AAAAAAAAAAAAAAAAAAAGAAGAAGAAGAAGGGGCAGACATTTTCAAATACACCAGAAGAGAATGTAAAATCTTTATTCATGGAAGCCTTCCCTTAAAAGTAAAAACTTGTAGTTCTTTTATGTCACTGTGAATGGGGGACATTTAAAAAATGCTATAGAACAGCAAACCAATGCTATAGAGCAGCAAGCCTGCCATCTATTTTTGTAAATAAAGTTTTATTAGAACATAGCCATTCCTTTAATTTATGGTTTGGCTATGAATTCCATGTTATAATGGGGGAGACTGTTTGGCTCACAAAGCCTAAAATATTTACTACTTGTCCTTTTACATAAAACGTTTGCTGACTCCTACTGTATAATGTGGTCCCAAAGTGTGAGGCAGAATAACATCCTGGTTTAAAGCACAGGCTCTAAAGTCAGTATTCTGTTTAAAGCCTGGTTTTGCTGTTGAGTAACTGAGACTTCATGCAAAGTATCCAAAACTTCTCTGGGCCTCGGTGTCCTCATCTGTAAAACAGGAAGATTAATAGCATCTACCTAAGAGAAGTGTGGAAAAGATTAATTGAGATAATACATCTAAAGGGTTTCAAATATTGCCTGGCATAAAACATCTTTATTAGTATCACATTGGCAACAGCTGTATAAACTGAACTCCAACAGAAAAGCTTCAGCTGAGTTGTAAATGGCACTTACACATGCATGTAAGAATTTCCAAGATTCATCGCTGTGTTATACAAAGGGGATTCTCAGCTTATTTCCAGTGACAAGCAATAGGCTGACATAAATGACAGCTTAGGAACATAGCCATTTTATATCCTTCCTTCACTGTATCCCCAAACCATTGCTTTTGATTTCAATAGCTTATGTCTACATATGTCATACATTAGTCTGTAGTCAGACATTCAGACTTCAAATTATTTGATCTTCAAACTTGTCATTCTTCATGTATTTTGTCTTCATCTCATCTCCCTTGGATTTTTTTTTATGCCTAGCACTCACTCCCTAATACCGATTTTACAACACCCACAAATTTTAGAGGTTATGGAGGATGTTGGAGAGGAGAACCCTCACACTTCCACTTAAGCCAATGATACTCGAAAGATAGTGTACCAAAATCTCTGGAGTTGTTATTTAAAATGAAGGTCCCACCCCCGCCTCCCCGAGAATTTTATTTCATAGGACTGGGATGTTTCTAGAAAACTGCTTCAGTAGGACACAATACAGCTGATTCTTACATTGAATCATACTTTGGAAAACACTAACCTATTCCTCCTCTTTCTTCTACTTTATCAAGAGAAAGGCTTTTTGAAGTAGAACATACATCACCATGTCCCCTTTCTCTCTGGAAAACTGGCTGGTATATATTGGGGGCTAGCAAAGGTGGGAGTGGGGTTAATATTTTGATGGGCCTACATTGGTCCCAGCTGGATAGCACAAATGGACTTACTGAAAAGAAAACAGAACTTTATGTCTGCATGTAGGAACAGTATAGATTTTCGGAGATGCGTAATGATGCATACCATGTACCAGAGGGTAAAATTAAGCTCATAAGACTTTTCAGCTATAGTTGATACTTTGGAACATGAGGGTCCTTCCAGATCAATTTAAACTATCTGGTTGAACTATCTGCTTTAGTTATTACATGATTTTTTTTTTTTTTTTTTTTTTTGGCTTTGCCAGTTTCAATTTGTAACTCCAAGTTTGGGAAAACCATCTCAAGTTAAAGGCTGGTTTTTAAAATCATTGTGTTCACCGCTAACCACACTCCCCCCCCCCCACCCCAGCAATGGAATGAATTCTTAGTAATATGCTGAGGGCATGCAGCTCTGCCAAGATTTACTTCCTGTTTCTACTTGGGCTGGATTAGTATTATTTTCCAATGTCCCGCAATTGCATGTCAGAATTTATTTGAAAACATAATAATTTGGAAATGGATATCCTGCTAATTGGAGCATCTGTCTCTAGCTACAGCTCTTTTCTTTTTGTAACATCCTGATTTATAATGATCATCTCACCTTTGCAGATATTGCAGTATTTAGGAATAATGCTCAACCCTGTTCTGTCTCCGAAATAACATAAAGTCATCTTGGGTTATGCTATTATTCTACTACCTACGAATTATCTCTGTGCTTCACTCCCTATCGGTTTGGTTTGTTGCCAAAGTGGTGATTTATGTCTGCTTGCTTCTAGACTATATTATTGCAATGCTTTCATATACAGACTAACTGATTAGACTCTGCACAGAAAGAAAGAAACACAGTTCAGTTAGTCATGTATGTTACACACAATTCCCTGTTTCCTTAGGCTTCCTCGTGGTTTCCTTTCCTGAGGTGGGGCATGGAAGCCATACCACCAAAGTCAACACCCTGACCATTTCCATTAAGGTCTTTGAAGCTTATACATTTTAGGTCTCTTGAATTAAAAGTATCACATCTAGTATAGCAAAAGAGCTGCTGATAGTTTGAAAATGGGAAGTTTTATCCAAACAGCTGTGCAAACTAGAGCTGATTTTGCTTTTCCTCTTAGTTTTCTTTCAGATGTTCTGTATGGTTCAACATGATGTATACAAACAGCCTTATCCTTATGAAGTTGGACCTTTTGGATTGCCTGGTGTGAAGGAATGATGGTCCTGGAGGAGGAGTTTCTCACATAGTCTACTGTCTCTCTTCATGCAGCTGACTTTTATCCAGCATCCCTGGCCGATAACCATTCAGCAACCCTCTGGTCACTTTCAGTAATGAGGGTCTCAGTATTTTAAACACAGCTGGCTACCACTGTTGCAAATTTCTAGTTGTTGTTTCTTTCTTCCTTTTCAATAGGATCCCAAGCCTCCTCTGGGGGTAATCTCCGCCTTGAAGCCTTGTTTTGTTTTACTGTCTTTTCTATAGAACTTGCTGTGGACTGGTTGTGTTCCCCCAGATTCATATTTGAAACTCGTATCACCAGTGTGATGGTATTTGGAGATGGGGCCTTTGCAAAGTAATTAATTAGGTCATGAGGAAGGAATCCTTATGATGGCATTAGTGCCTTTATGACAAGAGGCAGGAGACAGCTTGCTTCTTTTCTCTCTCTCTGCCAAATAAGGGTACAAGATGAACTTTTGTAAGTCAAGAAGAAGGGCTTCACCAAGAATATGCCATGCTGTCACTCTGATCTCTGAATTCCAGCTTCCAGAGCTGTGAGAAAGATGGTGATGACCATCCAGAGGAAAAGACAGTTCTCCCATTTGTCTTAAGCCCCTTCACCAACTAAACATATCCAATTTATTTTGCTATCCCTCACATCCCTGGTTTGCAAACATTTTACCTTTCTGTTCAAGTTTTTAGCAAGTACCTCTCATTGCCAATTTCTCTCCCTGATGAGCCCATGTGATCCTGGTATTATTACTTAACCACTTCCTAACTTGTACTGCAATAGACATTATTGGGCTATACTTTCCTACTTAAAAACTCTAAATCCTAAGAAATTCACAGAAGAAACCCAAGGTAGACAAAAATACTTATCAGACAAAGCACTCTGCACAACTCTAAGGGAGAGTAATACACACACACACATGCACAATGACTAATGGATTGTGACTAATGACTGAAATTTCCTGTTTACTTCCTGAAAGAATGGACGTAATATTATTTTTTATAGTTTGAAAGGACAGAATCCAAATGATAATAATTATTATTCTGGAGTGAAAGTATTACAGGTAGTTTTTGTCGCTTTTGCTTATTTTGATACTTCTAATTTTTTCTACAAAGAATCAGCATTGTAGGGGTGCCTGGGTAGTTAAGTCAGTTAAATGTCTGACTCTTGATTTCAGTTCAGGTCATGACCTCACAGTACATGGGATTGAGCCCCAGGGTAGGCTTTGCATAGACAATGCAGAGCCTGCTTAGGATTCTCTCTCACGCTCTCTCTCTCTGCCCCTTCCCCGCTCATTCTCTCTCTCTTTCTCTCTCTCTCTCTCAAAATAAATAAAATAAACATTAAAAAAAAAAGAACCAGCATTGTTTATGTAACTTTTTTCGAGACAGTCATAAGAAAGACCAAATATTCTAAAAATAATTTGTCAATTATTTACTCTTTACTATGGCATAGACGACTCCCAAATGTTTACACTCTGGGCATTAAAAACCTTGGAAATTATATTTTAAAATCTTTCAGTATAAAACAATTATAGTTTTATAATTGAGACAAAATTATGAGAAATTTTCTATGACCCTAAAGTAAAGGCAAGGATTCTGAACAAAGAATTCATTGGAAACATTCAAGCAAAAGCACTGCCTCTGGGTACATTGCTTTAAATCCATTTTTTTTTAACCTTAATGTGGAAGATACACATACAATGATGTTAGCCCATGGTAACACACAACAGAAAATGTATTATTAAACTTGGAATACTTATAAGCATCCTTAGACAAAAATGCCCAAAGTAGCTGCCTGAATTGAGACATCTGGAAAATGGAGGCATTATGTGTTGACCTAGGATAATTTGCTATGATGCTGGTGATTTTCTATTCATTTTCTTCAGTACTTTTCAAAAAGACTATTGTATTTAAAAACCAAATTGCTGGCACCACGCAATTTGAAAAAAAAAAATACATCAAGTACACAAATTACTGGAGAAAAATGCTGCCTGTAGTTTCCAACCAAGTCAGATCCACAGAAAATGTCATGTCAAAATCCTGCAGGGTCATCCTTTCTACATTTGAGGATGAATTTATTACCTTATTACCCAGACCATGCCAGCATTCTAGAGCAAAAGCTGCCTGTGTAATGGAAGCTTATGCAAACATTGATTTCTTGTGGTTAACTTCCAAATGTCTTCGGATTATTCTTGTGCGCTCTTGGAACTTATCTCTTCACCCAGCAGCAGACAAGGGAGTTAATATACGGTGCGTGTGTGTCCATTTCTGTTGACACAATGCACAGGCTATCAGTCGCTATTAATTCCAGGAAAGGAAGGGCAGGGCAGAGGGCAGGCAAAGCGGAATCCCAACGAAACAGAAAAAAGAATACGTCCTGTCAGATCTCTTTTTGTCGAGCAGTTCAGTTGGGCACCACTGATCTTTTAAAGTCTGTGTTTGTACTACCTTCAATTACTTGTACGTGTCATTGTTTGTATAGCACAGAAACATGAATTAAATCTGTCAGGCTTTTGATCTGCATGCCAAGTCAACAGTGTAGTCATTGTAAGCACTTATCCAAAAAAATCCCAACCCTCCTCACCGCCCCCCCCCGAAAAAAAAAAAAAAACACTTTGTATTTGGCCGTGAAGAAGAGAGGGAACATTTTTTGCTCTTTTGACTATTTTTATCACTCTTCCTGTACTATTCCTTTTTAAAATGACATTTTTTTGTCAGTACGGAAAAAAAATCTCTTGTCAGATGCAGTGCTTAATTATAGATTTTGAGATCTGTGAAGGCTTGCATTGCTTTCTTCCATTCAGGACATAGCCACACAAGTAATGGAGAGAGAAAGGTAAGTAGTAACCCAGGGAAAATACTGTTTTGTGTTGGTCATGGTACGACAGTGTGCAGTTTCCTCCCTTAGTAGTTTTTATAAAATTGAATACTCTGGAAGTAGAACATAAAACAATCTTTCAGGAAGAAAAGGGAGGAGACACTGAGTTTCATTCAAGCTGAAGTTCAACATTAAAAAAACATAATCATCTACTGGAAAAAATTAAACTGGCACTCTCCATTTTGTCTAATCACCCAAAATAAACACTCTTATCATGTAGAGTGCTTCAAGAAAGAAGAAAATTCTTTCCAAATCATGTCGTTGAAAGCACAAAATCTGAGGACTAAGATTAAAAGCTCCCTAATTTTTTATTTAGCTTGTTTTATGGTTAATATTAATAGAAAAAACTGTGCAATCGTTTTACATTTTAATAGTCACAAATAGTTAGAAGATGGATAGCACTGATGGTTGAACAATCCCTAGATTTCAGTTTATTAACTGTTTCTTAGGCATCTAATAAGTAGGAGATTGACTCTGTCCAGCCGTTTGCTGTGGAAAGGGATGGGGCAAACTCTAAGGAAGACAAGCAAGGTGAAGCAAAGGATCTCGATCATAACCTATGTGACCAAACTCTGATTAACAGAGCAGCCTCTTTACGATGGAAAATCATTTTGAATTCATAGCTAATCCTTATCCCCACAAAACAATCTGGAGGTAAACCAATCAGTTTCCAGCATGGAGAGTTAAGTCTCTGGAGCTTCTGGGTTAACATCTTTAATGAAAGCTACATTTATTTTCTTTGAGGAGCTTAAAAGGACTCCCCCATCTGACCAGCAATTAATATCCAGACCAGCGATGTGCTGAAAAATCACTCTGACCATAACCGAAGTCACTCCAAGTTACCTCTTTCAGACTAAGATGAGAACATGAGAACAAAAACGCTACTGAATGTGTTGTCTTGGGTCTTTTTGTCTGGCTGACCTCTCTGTAGATGAAAAATCGGTGACAGCTGTAGCTGTGTATGGCACAAACATCGCTCTCAGTATTCTGTGTAACACACACACTTCAGCTCGCTTTGCTTTGTTTCCAGAGGCGTTTATTCTCGAGTTTCAAAGCTGAGAGGCAAGAAAAAGTGCCAATTGGAAGTCAAAAAGAAAACAGTGAGGAGATACACTTTAATAGATTCATCTGCATCGCTTTGTTAGCAGTCTGTGGTTCAGACTTTTCATTTTTCCATCACTCAAATGAAGTACATCTGAGTCACATAAAGATATAGTCTCTTAATAGCAAATTGTCATAGGAGGGGTGATAATTTGTGGCCCCTCATTCCAGCGAATAAAGTTTGCAAGTGGCAATGGAAGAATTTCAGGTTTTGTTTGGACTGGAAGCTGCCAGCTTCCAGTGTTTGATTATCGACATAAACCAAATATTTCATCCTGCTAAAATGGAGTAGAAATCTCATGAGAGCATGCCTTTAAACAGTATTTCTAGTACTTCCTGCCTTCAAATGTGTTTTCTCCCTGCCCCCTCTCTCTGTCTCTGACTCTGCTCTCTCTTTGTCTTTTCTGTCTCTCTCTCTGTCTCTTTGGCTCTTTTCCTCTCTCTCTCTCTCTCTGTCTCTCATGTGTGTGGTTCTCTTTCATAAGTTTTGGCCAAATCTGAAAGCAACAGGAATCTTAAAAATAGTTTTTTTGTGCTTTTGTCCATCAACAATGCCTGCATTTGAACTTACTTGCTGAATATCACAGGTCTGAACTCTGTCATATAAGGACAGGAAGGATCCCAAGCATTCAGTATGACTGAGTTGTGGGAATATGTAAAATTTCAGAGTTAATAATGAATGGATACCAGTGGGTTAAAGTCGCACTCTACCAAAAATGCCTGTCAGAAAAATCAGGAAACTTTGAGTCTGAAAATGAAGGTGATGCTATTTTCCATGCCTTAATAAAAGACCAAACAAACACATAACAAACACATCCTTCTATGTAAGTGATGAGGAAAACCTGGCCTTTAGTTAAGACAGCAGCTGCCATGTTTGTGATAATGTTCTCTAAGCCTCATGGTGGGCATCACAGTAGTTGATTCAGTAATCAGCCCTGATTCTGAAGAATCTTGCTGTAACAGCCCATACTCAAAGTTTTAAATGGAGGGAGACCCTATAGCTTAGCAGTTATAAATTTGGAACGTGGAGCCAGACAGACCTGAGTTGAAGTCCCAGTTCTGTCATTTACTGGCTGTGTGGCCTTGGGCAAATTACTTTACTCTCTGAGCCTGTGTACTCAACCATTAGAAGTGGAAAATAAAAGAGCTTTACACGTTTGTACAAGTTTGTCTACATTTGCTGGAAGGATTAAGAGACAAAACTCCTATAAAGAGCTGGCAGGTAATATGTGCCCAGTGCAGGGCAATGACCTCATTTTATTATTATTGAAGTAAAGGTTCTACATCAGTTGTCAGGAGGCCCCTGGGGAGTTAGTTCCTTGATTTACCCCAGAGTAGAATTCTTCACACTCAGTGAAACTTCC